CCTCACTCAATGAAGCATTCAGTCCCTCCTTTCAGCAAAAAAAGGAGATTTTTTTTGGATTAAAAAAGGGAGATTTTATTTTAGTGTCTGAAAAATGCTGTTGCGGAGAAAATGAAGTTTAACAAAGTCATTTTGAGGAAATAAAGATCAGATCTACATTTCGGTCCCTCTCCCTCCTCATAACCGGTAAAATAATGTCGCTGCTTGGGGATATAATGGCGGTACGTAAATACGTCTATTTCAGCCTCCAATCTATGACCTACTGCGGGGGAATTCAAATGTGAAATCAAGCATTTTATAATGTTATAGTGAGAAACTGCCTTATCAGAAGAATGTATGCAGGGGAATGGATATCTATAATGATGTTTAGGAGGTAATATAAGGCAATTTAACAACATCTCAGCGATGCATTGCGTGTAGCAATAGACCCAGGGACATTATGGCTGCTGGAAGGTTTCCATATTAAACTGTGCTATGAATATTTACTTTTAAAGCACAAGCTCACCTTGTATATACTGTTCTCACTGTAAATTATGTTCTGCCCTTAGTGTTCTCAGCTATATTTGAACCATTGCTATGGAAAAATTAAAAATGACATACAGGCAGTCCCCGACTTACGAACGCCCAACTTACGGACAACCCGTACTTACGAAACGAGGTGCAAGACTGCAGCTGCTGTACCGCGCAGCGTTCCACCGTGCAGCGATTCACTAGTAACTTTGCTCCTGCGGACGATCGCAGACAAGTAGTGGGGCTGGATCGTAGTGTACGTAGAGTACTGTACCTCTTGCGGGAAGTTGTTAGTGAGTGCCCTGCCTCTTCTTCTGGGTCTGGTACTGAATAGGAAGTTGGCTCTGACTGTCGTTACCCCTGTCATAACCCTGTATGTACTGTACAGCGTACTGAACACTTTTATTTGTCTACTTGTTTGCCTGTAACAATGCCGAAAAACAAATCTGATACACGTGCTGGTGATACAGCAAAGAAAAGAAAAACCATTACCATGGAAGATAAAGTAAAAATAATAAAAAGATCAGAGAGGGTTGAAACTCCATCATCCATTGGCAGATCATTTGGTTACAGTCGGTCAACAATCGAAACAATTTTAAAAGATAAAAGTAGAATAATGGAGCATGTTAAAAGACTTCCCCCAATAAATGCTACGATTATTGCCAAGCAACGCAGTGGTTTAATTATCGAGATAGAAAGGCTTTTGACGATTTGGATAGAAGACCAAAATCAACATAATATGCCTATCAGTCTTTCTTTAGTGCAAGAAAAGGCTTGAAGCATTTTCAATGATTTAAGAGCAGCTCATACAGCAAGTGAAGGCGATTGCAATGAAGAATTTGTTGCAATTAGGTTCAATCACTTTAAAAAAGAGCATGTATATGATGTGCCCTACCAATAGCATCAACATAGCCATTTTTGTTTTTCCTAGTCTCCCCTGTAACATAGTGTTATTACCTATTGATCCTGACAGTAGAGCTGTTGATGATACACTTCCTTCAACAGGGTGACAACATTGATTGCTCCACAATTAAATCAAACAGTAGAACTTTTTTTTTCATTTGTAGGGAAGTTTTATACCATATGAAAAAAAAGATCATCTTTGTAAGCACCGCTGTAGGTATAATAGTTTGTCCCAAACCCTGTAGCTGTAACTTTTGCTGGACAGCTTGGCCTGCATGTGGGAAACAAATATTTAAATGCCTGTGTAATTACTATCATTACATATAATTTCGAGGAACTTTACAGGGTTTATGTCACTTTGCCCACTGATATTCATCTTTAACACACTCCCCCACCCCTCCCCCACTGCTATATTGGAGCCCTTGATAATTACCCAGTGCTTCTGGGCAAGGGGGAGCATGTGCCCTCCTTAAAGGATGCAGTGCTCGGGTCTTTGAAGCCAATCACGAAGCAAAAACATGTTGCATAAGGAAGAGATAAACAATGTGTTAGCTTCAACACCATTCAACAAGCAGCTTACCAAGCATTTGGATTTCCATTCCTGATGAAGGGGCTCTGGGTGGGTAAATATTAAATATCTAATAAGTACCCCAATGTACATATATTGTATAATTAAAACCAGATATAGAAACTGGTATGTAGATATAGAAACTAGTAATGAGGCTGCATTGGTGTGAATCCATTTCTTCTGAGCTTGCCCAAGCCTGCTCAAAACTCTGACCACCACCCCCCTTCTCCTGACCCAATCAGTTGCACGGAGCTGCATTCCCGGCATTTGATCAGGCTTGGGCAAACTCAGGCGAACTAAGTCTTCACCAAGCCCAGCCTGAAATCTACTAGAAACAAAGTTTTTGCAATCATTAACACGTTCATCTAAAAATAATTGAACATTCTCCATTAACTGTTTCCATACTGTGTTTAATGATCACCCTTTCTGTAAAGTGGCCATACATTGCTAACAGCATGGATGGGGGAATCCTCCCTACTGGTCTATCGTATGGTGACAGTGGCAGGTGTGCCGCTGTCAGAATACCTGGAACGTGACTGCAGCTTGATTTTGGACTGGCTCCTTCAGGAGAAATTCAACCAGTGTACAGCCAGCTTTAGTTTCATGCTTAGCGATTCGGAATGAATAGAGGAAGTCTTTCAAATGCATGAGTTCAGGCATGCTTGTTGAGGGGTTGGGTCAATGCCAAATGAATAACTGTAGGCTTGGAAATGAATGGTTTTCTTTCAGTTTGGTCTAATTAATATGTAGAAAATCTAGTTCAAATGAAGATTTGCAAAAATCACCTATAAGTGGAATTGTTATTATGATTGTAGCTTGGAACTGGGAAAAAAAATGCCAATTGTGTTTTGACAAATAAGTATTTTCAAAAAAAGTGACTCCGGAGGAGGATATATGTAGCGGCCTATTTATTTCTCTCACAACAGGTTTCTTTAAGGCCCCTTTCAGATGAGCGTGTCAGGAAAGGAACTGTCAACAGATCCTCTCCTGATCATCACCGATGTGACATCCGTGTCCGTATGCTGTTTTTCCTCCGTCTTGCGATGGAGGAAAAATCTGAAAGTGCCGGACCCTATGTGTGTCTATGGGGAATTAGATGTAAGCGGACCTGTGTCCATTTATTTCAGTTTACCCCTGGTCCGGCACAATCCTTTCCGTAGCAATAGAGCTCTGATCCATGTGTTTTTCCGAACCTAGCCAGGTCTAACCGGGTGTAAACAGGGCTACCTATGGTCTTGCATAGAGCATCCGATTGGGTCTGGCTGAAAAACTGACAGCCAGACCCGATCGGACCGCTCATGTGAAAGGGGCCTAAAGCTGATAAATCTAAGGTTTAAATATATAATTGTGTAATTGTGTTACTGACCCAAATATTTGTGATTCTCTTCAGCCGCTCTCGTGGTCCAGACATTTCTGGCAGACAGCATAGTTCTTTTGGTTACCTTTCTTTTTTTGCATTAAAATTAAAAAATAACTAAAGCCAAACCTCTTTTTTTTGGCTTTAGTCCACTTTTGAGTCAAAGGAGTACATTTACTACTGTATTCCTATGATACAAAGTCAGCATCTAGCGCTATTTGCTGACAGCATGGAGCCATACTGCAGCCCGGAAAGATCCCGACAATATTGTAGGGCTTTACCCCACTGCCTAATTGACAACTAGCTCTGCCTCTCTAGAGCCAGAGCCATCTGTGCCCACCCTCTCCCCTATCTGTCCCTCCAATAAGCCCTGGAGAAACAGGACGGAGTGGGGGGAATCCCTGGAGGGAGTGGTGATTGACAGTCCCTGCTCTGTGCAAGGAGAAGAACGTGAGTGGAGCGATCAGCAGTTTGTGATCGCTTAGTTCTCGATCTATAGACCCGGCATGTGACAGCTGCAGTGTCATACACCAGCTCTAAGTATTGGGAAGAGTACATTTTACTCTCCCAATACTTCTCCTTTAATGCAGCTTATTTAACCATTTGCTCCCATACTGTTGATTGGTCAATGAAGGAGCATAAACATATTTATAAAGTCCTCCTTTGTTTTCTCATCCCGTCAACAATCTCCCAGTATTAGAACGACATCACTCTGCAATACATTAGGGCCTGACTGGTTCACATAGCTGATACTGCCTTTCCCAATCTTATCCTTGGTAGGGGATTACAGCAAGCTAATGTAAAGATAGCACTGCTATTTTAAAAAAAATTGAAGAAATACATAACAGGAATAAATAGTGGTTTTCTACCACTTGGAGTTCAGCTCCATTAAGGAGACTCTCTGATGTTGCCTTTTTCTTTAAATAGTGTTTTCCTTAAAGCAGAACTAAAATGTTAATTTTTTTAGGGCTATGGAAATTAACGATTAATTCTTCGATTAATCATTAATTCTTTTGATCGGTACCCACCTCTCCGCTGGCTTCCGGGAGTTCCGTCAGAGATCCGGTGACGTCACGGATATCGACGTCACCGGACTTCTCCCCCCTTCCCTAAGTGGCTCCGTCGGCTAACGAAGGGAAGGGGGAGGAGTCCGGTGACGTCACCGGACTCCTCCCCCTTCCCTTCGTTAGCCGACGGAGTCACTTGGGGAAGGGATAAAAATTTTTGATTAATCGAACACTAAAATTTTAATCATTACCAGCCCTAAATTTTTTTAATGGCCCTTAGTGTAATCTGGATAGTCCCATCTGGTTTATTCCTAACCCAGCTATAGTATTCCCTTCAAAAACCTAAAATGCTAGATACCTTCCTAAGGTGTTCTAAAGGCAGCAGTGACCCACTATAGTGACTTTAGCTATAGGTCCCTTCATATTACAAGACAACCCTGCAAATGGAGCTAGGTTTTAGAGAAAGCAGGTAAAAAGATGTGGTGCTTGTATTTCTGGTAGATAAAGTATTTTTGCCGAGCAAGTGCTATGCACATTGTAGACATTGACTAACCACCATGGCCATTGCACCGTGCAGAGGATCTGTCATGCATTTTGCTTTTGTTGTGTGAAATAAATTGAAGGACTAAGCTGTGTTTTTTTCCTTAACCTCCAGGTGGAAGTGTCTGACATTGAAAATGAAGAGAAAAGATATCGCCTCTTTGTTGAGCTGCTGGACATCAGTCACTCCCGCCAAGAGTTCCAGCACTTAGTTTTACTTCTACAAGCCTGGCCGCCAATGAAAGGAGCAAGTGTGTAAGTAATGGTTTGCTGCCTTCTCTCCAAGTTCAGTCAGCCAGGAAATGAAATAAAACACGTCAAGCTCTGCAACTTCTAATGATGTTATATTTCCTGCTGCCTCCGAAGAAACTTTATGTAATTCTTTAATTCTGGCTTGTCATGTACATAAAAATGAAAACGGCCTATACGACTTTACTACATGAAACGAAAGAGAAATCAATGAGCATTGAAGCTGGGGGGCCCTAACTACTTACACCAGGCTGTACATCAGTGCAGGGCACTTCACTAGCATTGGCCTTGAATTCATCACTAAGCCATTAGTTGGCAGCTGTAGCTTTCAAGCACTGAATGGCTGTTAACTATTGTTAAAGTGACACTAAACTCAAGAGTTCAATCTAAAAATGCATTCAAGTACCTGGACTAGTAACAATACCGGACCTTATTTGTGTATCACTCAGCTGTAGATCCTCAAATCATCTCTGAATTGGTGCTGACACTGTCCTTCCTTCTGGAGGGGGGCTACTTTTGTTCCCTGTGTGTGTGTTGTAAAGTAGTCAGCGCTCCAAGCTCACTCCCATGATGGACTGCAATCACAACACAAATTAGTAAACTAAACATGAGATTGTAGTCCATTACAGGAGTGAGCTTGGAGTGGTGACTACTTTACAACACACACACAGGGAACAAAAGTAGCCCCCCTCCAGAAGGAAGGACAGTGTCAGCACCAATTCAGAGATGATTTGAGGATCTACAGCCGAGTGATACACAAATAAAATGCATTTTTGTTAATAGTTAAGGTACGTGAATGCATTTTTAGGTTTTAACTGCTGAGGTTAATGTCACTTTAACTCATATCTCCCAAACATGTACAGTATATTCGTGTGTGTAAAGAGAGAGAGGCCAGATATGCATGGTACCTTCCTTACCATGCATATCTGGCCTCTCTCTCTTTACACACACGAACATACTGTACATGTTTGGGAGATATGAGTTAAAGTGACACTAACCTCAGCAGTTAAAACCTAAAAATGCATTCACGTACCTTAACTATTAACAAAAATGCATTTTGATGAAGGAAGCCATTAATCCTGATAAAGCTGAGATCATATTGGTCCAACATTATTCATCTAAAGAGGAACTGAACTCTGGAAGCTGTGCCCAAAAAGGCAAGCAAAGGACAGAGGACCGGTCAGCAGTATCATATGCGTGTGCAGTATTGCACTCCTTATGTCCCATGTCTCTGTGTAGAGGAAACCATCTTGGTAAAGGCATGGTTTTGCTTTTTTTTATGTCAGAGTCTTCAGTAAAGAGAACAATTGGCAGCACAACAGTGACACCACCACTCCTCCTGAAATTAGCAGTTAGAGGCAGCAGTGCCTTAGATCTCACACTGCATATATGCAGCTTTGAGGGTTTAGACGTAGGAGTGCCTAGGCACTAGCACATACCAGCAAGTGCGCTGCTGTTTTTCAGGAGGAATACAAGACCAAAGGTATTTTTTTTAGTGTACCTCTAAATGTTTTCATGTAACAGAAAATCTTCACTTTTGTTTAGTTTAGTTCCACTTTAAGTCCTAAAGTCCTTTTCCAGCCTCAATTGTCTTTCAAGCCGAAAAAAAACCCCTTTTCATTAGTGTGAACTGAAGCAATAGGATATAAAGCAGATTGTCTTGTCTGTGCATGGGAACTGCATTGGGCAGCATTGTTCAACGCAGCCAAACGGGGCTGTTGTGAACGAGTCTGTGAATGGTCTGGGTCAGTGATTGTGGTGCAACAGCAACAACAGTGGTTCTTACCTTTCCCCACTTTACTACAAATTAGGGATATTTTGTCATTTCTTGTCGCTGTGGGACTCATCACTAGTACAGGAACTGGGGGGGAAATCTACCCAGCGTTGACCCGGGTAGCTGTAAAATCCTGACAATCATGAATGTCCCAAGGTGTGATGTAACTCGGAGTGGCTGCCAGGTGACAACCCTCTGGTACTTCATCACTCATGCGCATGAGTACCCGATCTTTCAGAGGGGTGACACCAAACTGTCAGTCATTTTGGTATCACCCCCTCTGATGGTGTCACCCGATGCCGGCCGCACCCCCCTTGTAATGTCACTGCTGACTCGGTTTGAGTTTTAAGTAGCAAATCCTAGAAAAGCCTTTTCTTTGTTGATTTACTGACTCAATAGAGAACAGGTGACGCTTCTGGCGACTTGATGCGTGATATTATTACTGATGGCATTCATAACCTTGCAGCTGGTCTGTAAGTGGATTTTGGTGTTCGAGTGCTTGATTGTTTATGTTATTGTGGAAGAGATCTTTGTGCACTGTCAATTTTCATAATTGAAAATTGCAGATACATAGCAATTTTCAGTTATCAGCCAAACATCAGCGGAGAATCGTTCCTTCTCTATCCAACAGGGCGGTTTTCTCAAAAATATTGTAATTGTGGGTGAAAACCCCTCATCTGATAGGACAGTACTGCATTGTTAGCCAGTGAAGCCTTGATGAGCTCAATATGGACTTTGTGTGCTTGAATTTTATATGAAAGTAAAATAAGTGAGTTCCAAAGCCATCATCTTTCCTCGCTGTTACCAAGGAGCACGTAAGGAAATAACACATTTTGGGGAATCGGTTGTTTTTGAAAAACAGACCTTGGTAAAAAAGAAGCAGAGTAGCATGTTGAAATAATTTAAAGCTGAACTCCGGGCACAAAAACTTTTACTTAAAAGAGAACTATGGGGTAGGTGTTTTTCCCCATAGTTCTCTTTATGGTCACGGGAGGACATATACTAACTTCCTTCCATGACCCAAAGCTATTGCCCGCTATATACTGACAGTGCTGCAGCTGGGACGGATCCCAACAATACTGTCGAGATCCACCCAGCTGCGTGAGTGACAGCTGGCTCTGCATATCTAGACGCAGAGCCAGCTGTGCCCACCCCCTCCCTGTTCGTTCCTCCACTCAGCGCTGGAGGATCGGAGAGGGGAGGTGGGAATCCCTGCGGGGAGCGGTGACTGGCGGTCACCGTTCACTGCAAGGAGACGATCAGGAAGTGAGCGGATTGGTGCATATTTCTGCTCATTTCCCGATCTATTGAGCCGACATGTGACAGCTTCATTGTCACAGGTCGGCTCCAACTATGAGGATGAGTGGAAATCACTCACCTCATAGTTCTCCTTTAAATACATCACTCAGTAGCCACAAAGGATATAAATACACTTTGTGTGCACCAAATGCCTTTGCAAACCAGATTATTAACGTATAAAAGTGTCAGTGACATCATCACGGTGCTGTACATAGTCTTTGCAGAAAGCAGTGCTGTGGGAGGGAGCAAGCAGGCTCCACCCACTACAAGCTGCCTGTAGAAAACTGCAGGAGGGGGCAGAGACAAGACCAGTCACCCTGCACAAGGAGAGAGAGCAGCAGTGAGCGGTCTTTATTACAGGAAGCTCCAAGTCTCACACTGGATCACTGCATGGGTCTGGTAGAAATACACAAAGCTCACCGAGATTTACACGCCTCTTGTATATAGACATTATTTGCTTATCCCAGAGTTCAGCTTTAAACAGGGCAACCTAAAGTAGGACATTATACTATACAAGTATTTTGTTTAATATATTTTTATTGCACTTAAATTTAATATAATTTACATAGTACATTTTTATGAAAAATAAAAAAAAAGAAACCCAAGGGTATATCATACACCTATCCCTCACATACACTCCCCCCAACTCTACTTCCCCTTTTCCCCATCATTCAATCCTATCTTTCAAATCTTCCACTGGAGGAGTGGGAGGAGGTCAATTTTTATACACCTGTGTCAATTCTCCCCCTGTCCTAAACTCCGTGTCAGCAACTCCCCATCCCCCTCCCCACCCCTTCTCCTAAATTCACCTCCCTACTCTCTAGGGACTATATATATCTTGTATATAGACATTATTTGCTTATCCCAGAGTTCAGCTTTAAACAGGGCAACCTAAAGTAGGACATTATAATATACAAGTATTTTGGAACCAAAGATACTATATTTAAAAAAGAAGAAGGCTAAAATGTATTTTAGTTCTAAATAGTGAGAAGAAGGGTTTTTATCTATGTCTATGTCCTCGCTGGGAAGATTCACCCTCTATAATTGTCCTGATCACCATTGTCAGCAGCTCAAGGAGTGAGGGGAAATCCTACATTTTACAGTTGTCACCAGAATAAGAGGAGATCTTCCAGTGGGCACCCCTGTTCTGGTGACAACTGCCCAAATGGGGGATTCCCCTTTGGAGAGATTTCCTTTCACAGGAAACTAAGGGAAGTCTCTCCAGTTGAACACAGACAGCAAATAATAACCTGACAAGGGTATTAATCCTTCCATACTTTACTCAAACTTCAATGTATTTTTTTCACATGTACTGAGGCTACATTCACACGCATTTTTGGTCATTTTTTGCACGTTTGTACTCACTTTATTTTGCATGTTTTAAAGAAATACTCCAGGCAAAAATGTTCTTAACCCTTGCAATGGGGCTACTCCCACACTGCAAGGGTTAAGTGCTTGTTTTGGTCTAGGTGCAAAAATAACAAAGTTATACTCGCCCTATCCTCGGAGCTGGCTGGCTCTTGGATTGATCTTCCCAGCCTCTCTCATCCTCCACTGCAGCGATGGGATGTCCCTCAGTGTCTTCATATGCATGTATCGGGTGTGATGAGTCACAGGTCCTTAGGCCACTGGAGCGGTGGGGGAGAGAGGCTGGTGGGACCGGACTAGCAGCCAGCTGGCTCTGAGGCTCAGGTGAGTATAACTTTTTTTATTTTTGCACCTAGAGGAAAATGAGCACTTAACCTTTGCAGTTCTGGGGTAGCCCTTCTGCAAGGGTTAAGACAATTTTTGCCCGGGATTCTTCTTTATGGCTTGATTATGTTATGTGCGTTTTTTAAGGCATTTTCAGGCACTTCCATTAAATCTATTGGGACCAAAAAACGCTGTCATGCCCCAAAAGGTTTGAGTGACAGCACATGTCTCAGATGTGAATGGGAACAATAGAATAACATGGGAATCTGAGTGTCAGCCGTTGAAGCACTTCTGGAAACATGTTTCAGATTACTCAGGTGTGAATGGGAACTTAACTGGAAAATATATTATTATTTAGGCTTCACACCTATTCATTGCAGTAACATGCTCATTATGCAATGCATGCATTTGTGTTATTGTGCCCTTTAATTTAAACTTTTGATTGACTGTGCTCATACAAGCATGCAGCATGTGAAGTCATACTACTTCAACTGTCAAGGGTTCAGACAGTATTAAAGGAGAACTATGGGGTCAGTGTTTTTCCCCATAGTTCTCCTTAGGGTAAATAAAATTTTATAGGGAAACATGGTTTTTTTTCAAAATTTAGGGTACTTTTTTTGTTATATAGTAAAAAATAAAAACCCCAGTGGTGATTAAATACCACTAAAAGAAAGCTCTATCTGTCCCCGAAAAATGGTATGAAATTCATTTCAGTACAGTGTTGCATGACGGAATAAACATCAGTCAAAGTACCGCAGCGCTGAATACTGAAAAATGGCCTGGCCAGGAAGGGGGTGAAACACCATGACCTTTAAGTGGTTAAAGCCAAAGCATCAGCAAGATGAAGACAGTAGAAGAGGTCAGCAATGGCAGCCTTCCTATCTCTCCAACACCAGGTTTCCTTTAAATATGCTGAATTAAACATTTTCCCATTTGACTGGTAAATTACACACTGGCCAAAAAAGAAAATCACCACCTGGATTCAGCTAAGCAAACAGGTAAAAGCTATAGGGATTGCTTCAGTTGGTTAGGTCTAGGTTCAGCAATGCTACGTCCCCAAAAAATGAGGTCAGCTGCCTCCCTGAATATACTGAATGATCAGGTTTTTCCATCAACTGATTTTTTCTTCCCTGATGGCACATTGGACATATTCCAAGATGACAATGCCAGGATTCATCGGGGTCACATTGTGAAAGAGTGTTTCAGGGAGCATGAGACATCATTGTCACACATGGATTGGTCACCACAGAGTCCAGACCTTAACCCCATTGAGAATCTTTGGGATGTCCTGGAGAAGACTTTACACAGAGGTCTGACTCTCCCATCGTCACTACAAGATCTTAGTGAAAAATGAATGCAACTCGGGATATAAATAACTGTTGTGACATTGCATGAGCGATAATTTTGCTAAATATTGCAAAATTTTAGAATATGTGACTTTTTTGGGGCCAGGCAGTGTATTTTTAATCCCAAAATATTGCTGAAAGCTTAAAGCTATCAGAGATAGCTGTGGAACTGATCGCCAACAAAGCGTCAATAACAGCGGCTTGAGTTAAACAGTTAACAGCCCCGCCAAACATTGCTGAACGCTGTGTGCTAGAGGTTGTGTTCTTTTACTGTTTAACACTCCATGATTTAGATGTAGCCTGTGTGTCCGCGCTCTTCACCATCAGCAATCATTCAGTCTTTTATCTATGCTTCAAGGTGAGTGTTGGAATTAACTTTTTTTATGGGCTACTCAGCACGAAGTGTCATTCTTCACTTGTCAGCAGTGGGGTGAATGCTAGTTACTAACTCTTTTCCACTGAAACTTTCCCAGAGCCATTGATCTCGGCTCTGTTTGAACTACGGTAATAGACTCCCTGTAGGGATTATAAACTCTCAGTCAACATAGATGTTAAGGGCCACTTTGGTTTGAAAACTAATTGTAGGATGTTGTGGCCATTTAGACGGGGGACCAGAGATGGTAGGGGGAAAAATAATTTAAATAAATGTATATAGATGTATATATATATATATCTGTATATATATTTTTTTTTTTTCCCCAAGCTGTCTTGTCTCAGAGGTTTCCGGTTCCCTGGACTTTTAAGGTATGATGAATACACTTCTGACGTTTCCAGGAGCAGTATGCCTGTTTCATACAGGCTTTTTATTTTACGAAATATGGCACCGTATTAGCCGTGGCATTATGACCCACCACTGGAGATTTCCAAGTCCTTACTGCTAAGCAATGATAAGTCAGTCAGCTGAATACATTTTACTGTTTATATTCCAGTCAATGCAAATTTTCACGCGTAAAGGAAAATACTTTTTTTATTTATTTTTTCCATAACACCCTTACAGTATGTAATTGGATGAGAGATACAAATCTAAGTTAAATCCATAACTGCAGGATAGCATATTTGCTTTATGGGTACCCATAAATTGAGCTCAGGGTCAAACTGAACCCAGTCCGAACCTGAACCTCTCTGAACAAAGTGCCATCCAACCAATCAGCTGTGGACTAGGGCATTCCCGCTCCACAGCTGCACATAAACAAAGGGCCAGAATGCTTGTGCTGATGTCATCTATCTTACATGGCAACATGGCCATATTAGGTCAATGTAATTTACCAAATAATGCCATGTGGCCATATAAGTTCAATGGCATCACTGCCCCCCACCTCTGTGCTTACATGCAGCTTTGGCCGAGCAGCGGAAGGAGCTTCCTTCTGTTTTCAGAGGATCCCTGTTTCAGACCGGGTTCTGTCTGAACCTGAGCACATCTCTAGTGAAGTGTAGTGTAGAATCTAATATAATGGATAACTGCACTTTTGTAGTACAATGAGTCATATGCTTGGGTGGTCAGGGACAAATGTTGGTGTGAAAAACCTGGCTTGCAGTTGGCATTCCAATTTAAGCTTGGGGAGCCATGTCATCTGCTGGTGTTGGTCCACTGTGCTTCATTAAGTCCAGGGTCAACGCAGCCGTCTACCAGGAGATTTTGGAGCACTTCATGCTTCCTTCCGCAGACGAGCTCATAGCTATGGACAATGCATCCTATGTGCTGTGTGGGGAGGAAGGCTCTGCACAGATTTTGCCATAGGTCCCAGTTATGTCTAAGTCATTCCTCTGGAGATGACACTTTGAGAATATCAGATTAGCCTTCATCACAGCATGCATTTTAATATGGTAATCACTTCTCCTCTAAGCTCCATATAAATTATTTTTCTGCCAACCGGGTTAAATACCTGCAGATGTAGGCAGTGTGTATTTATCAGAAGCAGCTGGGGTTGTGTTCCATATTTTTACTCTGTGGTAAAGGTCAGGAGCATAACACGTTATTGCAGAATTTTATCTCGCAATGCTCCAGACACAACTTGAGTCAGCAGAGAGCAACAAAGGTAAACACTGAGCACTGCGGGTCTTCATCTCGGAAGTTTCACAGACCAAGTTAATGGCCAGGTGCTCAGTAAATTTCCATACGCTATAGTCAGACATGAACCACTAATGCCACTTTGTAATCCTCAGCAATTGGATGCAGATTTTGAAATGTTCTGAAACTAATGCAGCAAAATTAAAAATGTTCTGAAACTAATGCAGCAAAAACACAAAATTTGGGTTGTTGCCCAAGGTGACCAACCAGAAGGTTTGAGTAATTGTTCCATAAAACAAGAGGTGACACTTGATTGGTTGCTATTGAGACCAACTCCAGTTTTGTGCTTGTTTTTGATTCTTCGGTTTTAATGCATTAGACACACAGAGGGAAATGTATCAAAACTGGAGCAGACACAATTTGGAGCAGCTGCCCATGGCAACCAATCAGCATCTACCTTTCATTTTCAAACCCTAACTGAAGAAACTGCAGAGAAAAGCTGATTGGTTGCCATAGTCAACTGCTCTAGATTCTTCTGGTCCAGTTTTGATAAATTCCCCCCACTGTGTTTAACGATTTGGCTGCCAGAGCCTTTTTTGCACACATGTTATAATCCTTATTTCAAGCCTGAAAATTACTTAAAAACTCCCAGAGTTATGTATTTCCTAAAAGCACATGTAGAATAAAATGGTGGCAGTCGCACATTTTTATGTCACATGATATTAGTTTAAATCCAAAATTTTTGTATGCAATACATTTCAGTTCATTTTAGTGCACAAAAACTCCATATATTATCCAATTATTTGGCAAAATATTGAAGATGATGTTGTGCCGAGTAAAAAGATACCCAACATGACAACCTTAAAAATTGAGTGCACCCTTAAAATGGCAAGAAAAAAAAATGCAGGACCCCAAATTGTTCATAGGCGACACTTTAAAAGCCTATACAGATCATCAGTTTAAAGTTATCCATGAATATTGGCCCTAGAATTATTGTTCTCACTCTAACACATGCGGCCATACCTAACGTGTGGCACAATCGTCAATTTCGTACATAGACGGACCTATAGCATGTTTGCATTAGTGTGTGCATCAAGGGAGACATGTTTTTAAATGGTTGTTACTTTACCGTATATACTCGAGTATAAGCCGTCCCGAATATAAGCCGAGGTACCTAATTTTACCACAAAAAACTGGGAAAAAATATTGACTCGAGTATAAGCCTAGGGTGGGAAATGAGGCAGCTACTGGTAAATGTACAAAATGAAGACGAGCAGGGTCATCTGGCAGTCTCCGGCCACCTAAATTAGGACCCGGAGACTGCCAGATGACCCCGCTCGGAGCGCCGCCCACCGGAGCAGCAGCGACGCGACGCTCGGCGAGGTAAGTAAGAAGAAACCTGACCAGCTCGAGACGCTGACTCGAGTATAAGCCGAGGGAGGAATTTTTCAGCACAAAAAATATACTCGAGTATATACGGTATTTTTTTTACTGCATTCCTATTACATAAGGGGGGCTACCAAGCCTCCTATGTGATAGCACATTGGAGGTGATAGGTTCTCTATAAGGTGACATTGTGCTTGACCAGCTTCTTCCCTGGCTTCTCTAGCTGGGGTAGGACAGCCCAGAAACCGGAATTGATGCAATCAGTGTCGCTTCCGGTTTCATTCGGTGGGGAGGAGATCAACATATGGATATTCACTGGTCTCTCTCCCTGCTATCTGCCGATAACCGCAATGCCAGCCTTGGGCCCACAGGAGGGGCAATGGAGCCGGGGAAGCATAGTAGGGGTGTAGTGCGGGGGGGGGGGGCAGTTTATCGGGCAGCTTTACAGCCACCAGAATCACTTCCATGGTAAAGCCGACAGTCAGCTTTGCACAGGTAAACAGACTCCCACTGTTGCCAGCGTATAGTTTACATCAGCAAAAGGGTTTAAAGAGCAGCGTGAGAGAGTAAAACATACTCTCCCTAATGCTTAGAGATGGCATGGAAATGCACTAAGACGGAGCAATAACTGATCTTGTGACACAGACAGCAAGTTCTGACTCTTACGCAGGAGCGTAACTACAGTAGAAATCAGTCAAAGCAACATTTTGTATGGGGCGTTGTAATTTCTAGTTACGTCCCTTGCAGAGCCCACCTGAGAGTGACCCTGCAGAGCCCACCATAGACTCTATGGTGGGCTCTGCAGGGTCTCAGGTGGGCTAATACGACTGTGAGGAGCAACAAGTTGTCAGTGATCTGGACAGCAGCGCGTTCCTCCTCACAGCTGCCAGTGACAGCCAGCAGCCTGCGATGCCATAGACCCAGACGGCCCGCGCGGCATCAGGGGGACCCCTTTGTTCCTCGTCCTGGCCGTGTCCCCTGGGCCCCATAGCGGCCGCCTAGGTCGCTATGGCGATAGTTCCGCCACTGCTCTTACCCACTATATCAAAAACTAAAAAATCTTTGGCTGGAGTTAGTATTCTTTAGCCTGCTTCTAATGTTGTAGTGGCCAATTATAGATACAATTGTTTCAAAAGATCTTTTGCTAGAAAGCGATAATTCAGCATATCAAGAAAGAATGTTTTGCCTGATTATGGTTGGATTGCCCACCAAGATAGACGGTTTACAATTACAATAATTTACATATTCAAACAGCCATTTAATGCAATCAAATGTATAGCTTTTTATCATAGCACACTAATGTCAATCACATATCCTAAAAATAAGCTTCCCTTCGGGACAGAACCACTGGTGTATAGTGCAAATATAGCCTAATATTACAGAGCCATTTATTCCAAACTACATGCAGCTGTTTTCAGGCTTTTTGACCATCATCAGTATAGTGTATGGAAACCATACCATAGTAAAGGTATATCTCCTATCACATTTCCCCCCAAAAAAGGATCATTCCTCATTTCAGAACAGTGGATGGAGCCATGTAAATCATTCCTATACACCCCAAACAGACAAATGCATATACAGAGCTGCAGGTATATAGTGCAAATATAGCCTAATATTATGGACGCACTGTTGGGTTGGAGGACTTTTTCATTCTTTTAGTCCAGTCTCATCATAACCTGTATGCTTATACTATATATTTTTATGGAAACGATTGTATTATCATTCGCTGTATCTAAATGTATAACCAGCCTAAGAAAAGTGTTTAAAACAGTGGCTGCTATCCCCGAATTCTTCCCATTAACCCCACAAGTGGACCACAAATCCAGGACTTTTTGTGCCACCAGCACCACAGAAGACGAGGCTTTCCTACAAATACAGATTTGTTAGGTTGGTAGTTTTTGCCCCCCGCTTCATTGACTGCACAGCAGTAAAATCCCTATGGTAAGTTGCCCAGGAACTGTACAGATCAGATGAAGGGCATGTTGGTTTAACAAAAAAAAACTTCCAAACTGTTTGATCGGAATTGTCGAGCATTACACTTATTTCAATAATTTTTTACTTAGTTACGAAAAAAAAAAAATCAGACACGTTAGATTGCACATTCCTTTTAAATACCGCTCTAGATAATTGATTTGCATTCTTTTTTTCTTTATCTTTAATTAATTTTGTCCACTTACTGCACAAGCTTCAAAAACACATTAGTAGTTGTCTTCACTTCATGTTGCTGTCTGGCTTGACTATTCCCGGTTGTAACTGAACTTAGTTATTATTATATTTAAATATTGCTATGAAAAAAATCCCTCTCTGGCTTTGTATTCCTTTGATAGTACTGTGTAAGGTGTGTACAGGTTTCCCAAGGTCAGGGTGTCACTAGATTCTTATGCAAGTGCTTAAAGTGACACTAAACTCAGGAGTTACATCTTAAAAATGCATTCAAGTACCTTAACTATTAACAAACATGTATCTTATTTGTGTATCACTCGGCTGTAGATCCTCAAATCATCTCTGAATTGGTGCTGACACTGTCCTTCCTTCTGGAGGGGGGCTTCTTTTGTTCCCCATGGTCCCTGTGTGTGTTGTAAAGTAGTCACCGCTCCAAGCTCACTCCTGTGATGGACTACAATCTCAATACAAATTCAATAGAAAAAGTGGGATTGTAGTCCATCATGGTAGCGATCTTGGAGCGATGGCTACTTTACAACAGGTGGTTTGTCAGTGGAAGAGTGAGTGCATAATTGCATAGTAAGTTTATTTTATTGTATTCAGGGATAGTGCTGAATGACCCAATATGTTACAGTTCAAATAACAATTAATCATACAATCTGAGCCAAATCTATGCGATATAGACAATATTATAAAACGGAACTATAGGTACCCTCTGGCCACCATTTTTGTGATCCCCCCAGCTGCTCCTGTCTCCTTTCCTTTATGCCAAGCTATCTTCCTGTCCCAATATGTCAGCCTTTGGTCAACGCCAAATGATTTAATATTTCCCATGATTCCCCAGATCATTCACACATACAGGACCTCTATTACCATATTACTAGGGGTGCACCGATAGCGAGTATTTGGGCGATTACTCGTACTCGCCCAAATGCTCTGATACATACCCCTGATACCGAAACTTCAGTGTCACATGGGAACATGGAGCTGGCTTCCTGATCGGCTGGGTATCTGGTTTCATGCTGTTTGGCCGGCTTCCCGGCCAATCAGCATGGAGCCAGCCAAACCGCATGGAGACAGCTTCTCGGGTAATCAAGAAGCCGGATGGCAGGTAATGACACTAAGCCCAGCTTCCGGATTGACCGGAAAGCAGGAGGCAGAGTTCTCCTCCCACACCTCCCGGCTCTGCCTCCTTGTTAGGAGTGGTGATTGGAGAAGAGTGCTCTGATCGGTCACAGGAGGCGGAGCTCTCCTCCCCATGCCGCCACCCTCCTGTGACAGGCGATTCAGGATGGAGAGCGGGTATACAAACACTCACCAATCAGCTGAATGGTGAGTGTATGTAAATAACTGGACATAGTATGCTTACTATGTCCCAGTTATGAATGAATGGGAAGTCATCTGCATCACTGCCT